TCTATGCCGAAAATGCATTGTACAGGCCGACATTGCGTTTAACACTAGATCTACCAAGGGAGATTAAAATGAATTGTTTGTGCATTTCTTATAATCATCAGTCAGTTTCAATACATTTTGTTTTCTAAAATTTTGTATGAATTTTTCTAAGGTATGCAAATAACTAATTCTAAAATCTTCAAAAATTGTAAAAAGGTACATAAACGTAGATACTTGCCAGGCAAAGGTCAGTCTGCTGACAAACCCAGCAACCCGAACTGCTACGTCCGGCTGGCGATAGATCGAAAATATTAGGAAAAGAAGTAAAGAAACTAAAGAAGAGAAAGCAATACAAGATATTTGACAATAACAAGAGATTAAACTATAATCCTAACAAAGGCACGCACAAACCGCCACAGTTCTACATAATGTTAATCGTGATAGCAAAAGTGAATTCCTAGTAGGATTGTGGAGCGCGTATTTGATTAAGATTACATGGCCGCGTGACGTTCTGCAGGACGGATGAAAACAGAGAGCGAGGCTGTGAGAACACGCACCGATCCTCCTCGTTATATTACTTTCTTCTAGACCGGCTTCGGCTTCAAGGTTAATAACGACCGCGCAGATCTTGATAGCATTAACATACATACGTGACCGATCGCGGTCGCCTTTAATTTTCTGCTCCTGAGCATGGAAAAGCGCGCCGGGAACGCGGCTCCGTGTAATTTAACTGAGTCGTTTATTCCTTCAACATCGATCGGTTCCAAGCTTTTCACTCGCCGAAAGAAAAATGCATTCCGATAATCAAAGAGAGATATGTACATTCTGATAAAATAATGAATATCTTATTCTGTTAACGTGGCTAATTCTTGTAATGTAAAACATTATTGAAATTTTATTCAGATTATTTGTTATATTTAAAGAATCTACTTGATCTTCGTATAAAAATATTGTTAGATCTTTTTGTTAATAGTTCTGAATCCAGTAGGTGCATCTATTCGACTTCTAGTGATCTGATGTTTGAACAATTAGACAATTGAGACATTTTTCTGTAATAAATTGTTATTTTGCTAGAAATAATTTCTAAAAGTGGCTTAAAAGAGCAGTCACAGTGGTATTAACCTTTAACGAGAATACAAGTTTCAAGAATTGCAAAAAACTGGTGAAATTCCGGAGGGAAACATTTTATAGCGCGTTCGAAGCCGTATTGGTTGATGAGAACAGGGCGAAAGGGGAACAGGTGTGGACACATTCCGATGGGTAGATACCTATTGAAGAGAACCAGGTGCGAGTTCTGGCTAGAAGCCGCGAAGAATTCTCGACCCTGTGGGGTCAAATCAACGCGATTCGAGAGTCCCGAAATTGCTGAAGGGGCCGCAGTTTATCAAGATTCTCCGTGGCGAGGGTCAAGGAACACACCTAACCGCGTCCCGTTCTCTTTTTGCCTCCGCTCAATTAAATTCTTTTTCAGGCAGATCGTTTCATAAATTATAACCTTTTGTCCCAGGGCACGCGCATGTAGATGTATGCGGATCACGGAAAAAAATTAATTTCGCGAGAACTCCGAATAATTGTTTATATATGTATATTTATCGAAAAATAAATTCAAAACTTGTTTGGGAGTCGAAAAAGAATATATACGATAAATGCATTTTGTTGTTCTATTTTCTCGTTTCTATACGTTCTACGATTATTAATTATTACATAAAGTTTGTTTGGATTTAATTTGTTGGTTAATGGGCTATTAAGCATCGCGATAAGGAAATGTTTCATACTATCCAACGATCGATTAATTGTCCCGAAGTGCTCACGAAGTGTCTGTCCTCGGCAAGGCAGCACCGATTCAACTTAACTATTTAATAACATGGTAGCTCACGGCGGCGCGGCGTAGCACCACTACTACCTGGCGGTCAGCCATGCCGTATCAAAGTCTTTATTAGATCCAATTGAACGTTATTGCTTCTCAGGCCGCGTAACTGAGATCGCCTATCAAAGAAAAGAGAAGGAGAAAATAGAATCCGCCGCTTGACGCAGTTAACCGTTTGCAGGTATCTGGACAGGTGAAGAAACGTGTACAGGGCGTTTTCAAATATGCGAACACCTATTGTAGCCACTGTACATTTAGCCATATATGTATTAAATGTACCATAAATGTACTAAATAAATTACAAGAGGGGAATCGCATCTTTTTAACGTGAATTCAGATATATTTTTATACAAGCAATTAATTTTTCCGGATATGTCTTGTAGGTGTTGTTTCATACACGTCAACGCGTTAACTATGCAGGAACGAGGAAGAAGTTACAGCAGGCACGGAGGCGGATTAACGGCATTAAAGGGAATTATTGTGTAGCCGCGTGATTAACCCCCTTCGTCAGATATTTATTAGCCGGCTAAGCCTCGATTATTCCTATCCAAGTGCAAGTTTACCTCGTCCGTGTTAACCAGATACCGTTCAATTAAGGGTGCGCGCCGCCATCAACGTCCCTCCTACTCTCTCTCTCCCTTGAATATCGTGCAACAGTTCGGTCCCCCGCTCCTGCGATTACGGGAAGCGAAGGCGCCTCTGGAATCGTGTTTTCCAACTCCCTAACAATCTTCAAGATAACTCGGTTCCGATTTCAAATTTTCTCTAAGAGTCAGATGAAGTCAGGCTATTTTAGATTAGCGATTTATAGGTGAAATATTGTTTCTATCAGCATGAACGAGAAAAACGGTGCAATAATAGTTCCAAGTATACTCAAGATTGATGCGACTGGAATGATAGACACTATTCTTGTTACAGACTAATACAGAGTTTAGAAAACCCGGTATCGTAGATAGTTAATGATTATTGATGAGCGAATTAGCGATTGTAGAAAGCGAGATGATGTTACTTTAGCAGATTTACCGAGACTCGAGTTTTGAGAAATGAGGAGTATCGATGGATAACAAAACTGAAATTAAACGGCCACGGAATTGTTGAAAAAGGTGATCGTTTCGCGCATCGACCGGTTCGAGAACAAAAGCAAAATACAGAAAAATGAAGACGTCGAAGGCGGCGAGAGAAGAGGAGACAGGACCTTCTCTCGTCTTACCGACAAAGCTGGTTCGCTCGGCTCCCGACGACGGAAACAAAAAGGAGGACGAAGACCCGGGGCCCGTACTTACGTGTTTGTGCACACTTACAGCCACCGGCGTCGAGCCGATATAATTCAATATAATGTAGGGCCCAGCGACATTATCTGCTCTCGTGCAGTCAGCTCGACTCCGGGCCCGATTAATCTCGACTCGATCTCAACAAAGCGCGGATTTATGTTCTCCGCTCTGCACACCGCACCGCGTCCTACCGCTGCCCAGCGGCCCTCGAGCTCCCCTGTACTCGGAACCAGTTTTCGGCGAGCTCGTTTCTTTTCCGCGATATACCCCCTTCCTTCTTTCCGTCTCTCGACCGAGAAACACCCGTCGTCGTTCTCGAAATCTTTCGCCTCCCCTTTTCGCTACCCCCGTGATGTTCGTTTTCTTACCAACTTGTCCTACCAGCGTTCCTGTATTCAAGATCATGGGGGTCTCCTCATTACGTGAACAATTCTTTACCTTCGCGCGGTTTTTCAGTTTAATTCAGTGAAAATAGTTCTCCGAAACATAAACATTTCCTAACATTTTGGTCAATTCATTGAGCAAAACAGCAATTGTACATAAGTCAAAACAGAAACTCCGGTATTAAAAATTCACTTTTGTTTTTACTAATTGTTTTTTAAAAAGATAACTCGGTTCCGATTTCAAATTTTCTCTAAGAGTCAGATGAAGTCAGGCTATTTTAGATTAGCGATTTATAGGTGAAATATTGTTTCTATCAGCATGAACGAGAAAAACGGTGCAATAATAGTTCCAAGTATACTCAAGATTGATGCGACTGGAATGATAGACACTATTCTTGTTACAGACTAATACAGAGTTTAGAAAACCCGGTATCGTAGATAGTTAATGATTATTGATGAGCGAATTAGCGATTGTAGAAAGCGAGATGATGTTACTTTAGCAGATTTACCGAGACTCGAGTTTTGAGAAATGAGGAGTATCGATGGATAACAAAACTGAAATTAAACGGCCACGGAATTGTTGAAAAAGGTGATCGTTTCGCGCATCGACCGGTTCGAGAACAAAAGCAAAATACAGAAAAATGAAGACGTCGAAGGCGGCGAGAGAAGAGGAGACAGGACCTTCTCTCGTCTTACCGACAAAGCTGGTTCGCTCGGCTCCCGACGACGGAAACAAAAAGGAGGACGAAGACCCGGGGCCCGTACTTACGTGTTTGTGCACACTTACAGCCACCGGCGTCGAGCCGATATAATTCAATATAATGTAGGGCCCAGCGACATTATCTGCTCTCGTGCAGTCAGCTCGACTCCGGGCCCGATTAATCTCGACTCGATCTCAACAAAGCGCGGATTTATGTTCTCCGCTCTGCACACCGCACCGCGTCCTACCGCTGCCCAGCGGCCCTCGAGCTCCCCTGTACTCGGAACCAGTTTTCGGCGAGCTCGTTTCTTTTCCGCGATATACCCCCTTCCTTCTTTCCGTCTCTCGACCGAGAAACACCCGTCGTCGTTCTCGAAATCTTTCGCCTCCCCTTTTCGCTACCCCCGTGATGTTCGTTTTCTTACCAACTTGTCCTACCAGCGTTCCTGTATTCAAGATCATGGGGGTCTCCTCATTACGTGAACAATTCTTTACCTTCGCGCGGTTTTTCAGTTTAATTCAGTGAAAATAGTTCTCCGAAACATAAACATTTCCTAACATTTTGGTCAATTCATTGAGCAAAACAGCAATTGTACATAAGTCAAAACAGAAACTCCGGTATTAAAAATTCACTTTTGTTTTTACTAATTGTTTTTTAAAAACGGGAAGATATTCCTATATATACGTGTTAGAATATTCAATATACTTCAACATAATTGGATTTTTTGCGATGCTCAAATAACTTTCGCGATCGCTGCATACGTAAGGTGAAGTATGGTTAATGATTTCGTTCGACTTACTTGTAAGATCCGTGAGTGTTCTTGCAGGAGCCGTGTCTGCACGGGTTCCTGTCGCATTCGTCGATGTCGTCCGCGCAATTCGGACCCGTAAAGCCCGGTGCGCACGTGCACTTGTAGCTGTCCTCGAGCGACAGACACTCTGCCCCGTTTCGACACGGCGACGAGGCGCAGTGGTCTTGTCGCTCGCAGTGCTCCCCTGCAACAGAGAAAAAAAACGCTATGCAAATACGTCCATACATGTATGGCTCTTAACCGTGAAAACGTAAACCGTATCCTATCACAATTAACAGTTGTGATAAATTGAATTGAAATAAAAGAACGGGACTGCAATTTGTCGAGCAGACAGAAAGTAATTAATCGGAAATAAAAATGACACCATTTTTAAAGGGACTTGACCGTGTAAACTTCTCGCAATTATAGGAGCACTTTATTTAGCGAATTTTATACGCATTCTTAATACTGTTACTTTTCCTACAATGGTTGTTAAATTTAATTAATTAATTTATAAAATCAGTAATTTGATTGAGGAAAAATAATTAACACTAGATTGTCGGAGCGAGTCAATTTGACTCAGTATTCAAGACTCGAAGTTCAAGTCATCATGTAAAAGAAATAGAAGTAAGAGCGTCTGTGCTAGCAAGAATTAGCGGAGAACATAAACTGTGAAATGGAATACATATGTAAAAATTGCTTTGAATAAAATTTCTTTAAAATAGAATTTCTCTGCCTCATCATTTAATGAAAAATTACGCAGGCGATCTTTACTGCATTTGTATAAATGAATATTTTAATTTTTCTAAACGTTGATGATGCCGCGAAAGGCAGAGACGAATTTGCTCGACGTCGCGTTGACAATTCATGTCCATTCGCGAGAGAAAACAAGTCCCTCTGCCTACCTAAACTCCCAGCCCTCTCATCTCAAGAAAGGGTCACTGATTAGCGAAACTAATTACCGGAGTCACCAGTCGCTCTTTTCCATCCGAGATGTCTGCTTCTATCTCGACGATAGATGCCAGTGGGTTTTCAATGCGCCATTTCTAATTAATGAAGCAAACTCGTTACCGATTGTTTTAATTGCTTTACAACTTCTATTTCTTCATATATCATTCCTTTGAACGCAGAATTTCTTTGTAAAAGAGGACGAGGAAACCATCTCACGGGTAGAAAGCAAAGAAAGAGGATACCTAAGCACGGAAGAGGGAGAACCACTGGTCCAAAGGTACCGCCATCAGCGAAATGCCGCATTGCTCTTCGCCAATTACCCAGCTGGCAACTTCTCTTTCTCATTCTCCGCTTGACCATCCTCTTTCCTCTCTTATTTGTTCTCCCTTCTAATTCCACCGAATTCCCGCTAGCATCGGGATTTATTTGTCAAAGGGAACGCGTGCCCTCGAGCAAAGGCGGTCCATAAAAAATACTCGTTTCAGCTTTACGGCGTTCGCTACTTCCGCGATCCAAGCAAATTCGCAAACGAATCAAACTTCTCTCGCGGGCTTCCCGACTCAGGAACGTGACTACCGTCGAACGGAATCGATCACCGCGATTATCTCTCTAATTGATCGATTTACGACCGACGCGGCTGTGATGCAGCAGCGCGCAGTTGTTCCGTTCCATTTTCAACGCTCTCGATGATGCGGGATCACGCCAAGCCGTGCACACTCAATGGGTTCACACCGTTCTTACATACATACATACACATTACCATTAATATGCATGCAACAATGAGTGTATCGCGATTACCACGCGGCTGTTATCATTTCATCCATCGCCTAACCTTGTCATTACGCTCGCATGACTCAAAGGGACTCGTTAACTGAACCACTGCCTGCTCACTTGTATAGATTTTCATATTCTACGCATAATCTCACGTCTGTCCTGTTTTTTTCCTCACCGGTAATTACAGTTCTGTGTCGTATCCGTATCGAGTTCTGCGATACATGGAAAATTGTGTAACACGTGATACGATGAAAATAAATGGTTATGAATTATTTTATTTCGTAATTTTAAATCCGCCGCATTCCATACCTGGCATTATGCAATTTATAACTGTTATAGAATTAAACGAGTATGGCGAGGTTTACAAGATACGCGAATACACAAATTGAAAACTTCGCGAATCATTGATTTTACTTTAAACACATGTAAATGCGAATTTACGCGAGCTTAAATATTCGGAATTTAAACCTGACGAAAGTATCAGCCGTAGCTTCCCCGGAGGAAAAAAATTTTGTGCAACAAAAATGCCGTGGCGGGCGAACGACTCAATTATGTATGCGATTTTTTTCGCGATAAAAGCCTGCGCGTTTCATTACCGGATTTTTGGCGTCTTCATTTAGGAACGGGTGAAGCGCTTCGTTTATCGAGGATTTTTATCTCTTAAACGGTTCGCCGCCTTTCCAAGATTAAATCACCGTACAGGGTGTCTCACACAGCGCGAACGAATCAGAGTTCTTATCTCATCGACTAATTTCGAATAATACCAGGTGAATTATAAAATCAGGTTCCCTTGTAAAAAGAGCGCAAATTGAATTGCTTGGATTGGAATTTGATTCAGGTCAAGCAAGAATTACGCGGCATGGGTAAAGGAGATTCTTACCTGTGAATCCAATGGCGCAGGTGCAAACATATTCGCGAAGGGATTTTAGATTGCATGTGGCACCGTTCAAACACGGCGCCGAGTCGCAAGCGTTCTCAATCGGTATCTCGCAGAGGCTGGCGGTAAATCCGACGGGACAGGAACACGCGAACGAGGGTGTGCCACCGCCGATGGTTTCCTTAACCCTGCAGGAACCGCCGTTCTGGCAGCGAGGGCCCGTGTGGCACGGATTCAGATGCTGACAGTATTCGCCCACATATTTTGGCGTGCATCTGTAACAGACAGAATTAGACAATGTTAGCATTGAAATAATCGAGCACGTGATCAACAGATAATATGATACACGAAAAGATTAACAGTATACATTTATAATTAATTTTTATCTATTTTTATGAATTAGCATTATATATAAAACTAAAAGACTGAATTTCGTTTATAAGCTTCGTTATAGTCTCTCAGTTTTTGCTTGCACTTATGCTATGACTTTTTTCTATTATTTGAAGATAAGTAAGAATGTACTAAAGTGCAACTGGCGGATTTTAGACAGAAAGCACTTTAACGCGTTGTTACGAAACGGAACGATGATTGCCCTGCGGTCAAGGCTTCCACGAAGGGCCCTGAAAGCGGAAGATCTTTGCCGACGCTTATAATTATATCTGAAATCCGCGTTCCACGGTTCCCTTTCTTTATTCGAATACACCCACGAAATCGTCCAAGGAAACTCGCATCGCAAATCACACGAACTCAACTACTAATTAACCCTTTAAGACATTGTGAGAGGTTTGTAAAATGGATAATTATGGAACTGTCAGTTAGAAAGAAGATTGAGTACTGAAAGAAGAAAGGAAAAAAGATACTGCTTGATATCCTTTTTAGTTTTGTACAAAATTGCTAGTAATATAATTTATTTGATTATAGAATACGAGAACGAGGAGCAGACTTTCACCGTACGAAATCTCCCTTATCTCTGGCGCTGTTTCCTATTTTAGAAAGGGGGAGCGGAACTCGCCGTAAAACCGGGTTTGTACCGACCGACCGGAGGGTACGAATAAAAATGCCAATAAACTGCGATGGCCGGCGGAGGTAAAGACAAGAACGTATTGGCGTCCATTGTCGAGAAGCACAGCTGGTTCCAACTTGGTCCGCGCAGCCTCTCCGCTGCTCCGACTTCTTCCTCCTCTTTTTCTTCGCCTTCTGTCTATGGATATCGCGTACGTAGGTAGGTAGGTACGTATATACGCTAGCGCTTAGAGAGCCGGTATCTCTATAAACGGAAGCGACGATTCCACGGCCATTATTCGCCCTGGCGCTGCAGCGAGTTTCTTCTCCCGGCTGCCACCGCGCCGGTAGATAGAGAAGGACAGAAGAGGGGCAGAACATTGAGCACCATCGGTTGGATTTATTGACTCCTATCCGTGAATATTCCCTTCTAAGCGAGTCCCAGGGACGTAACGAGAATCCGACGCGATGAGCCGCGGTGCCGCGCACCGGACAAAACCTTGTACGAACCATCCTCCTCGTTTACCTCCTACGGGACGCATTATTTTAGAAACACGAGTAGCTCCTTCTTCTTCTTCTTCTTCTTCTTCTTCTTCTTCTTCTTCCACGTTATACTGTAACGTAGTTTATGGAAGAACAACATGTTTCACTTTAACCGTTAAAGCAGCTGAAACTACCACCTCGATACTTTCTTTCTAAATTAGGATTCATACGGTCATCCTCTAAATTGATTGATCGTTTCATGTACTATTAACGAAATGAAGGGGCATTTCTCCTTTGACAGTATGAGCCTTGAAATATTTATTCATAGTTTAACAAATTATATTTCAGATACGATGATGATAAATTATTGCATTTAATAAATATTGATGCTGAAATAATTTATTGTTATTTTACTAGATTTGTACTTTTCAAACAAATACTATATCAATATAACTTTTAGAAAAAAAAAGAGAGAGAGGAATGAATGCCGTGGACGATGTTACGTCAACAGTTACAAACTGTAAAGCCGTTTCATACGACATTGTACAAAGTAGAATGTTCATACGTTGCTCATCTAGCCATAATATTGTGTCAAGTACGCTGTAATTATACTAATCGTGTACGCGTTGCTCTGTGAATACGGACGGTAATTTTATTAACGAATGTGGGTCGCGCGTCCCACGGTTTCAAGACTACATCGCATCTCTCTATAGCTTAGCAACTCAAATTTTGAAAACATTATAGAAAATGTCTGAACAGAAGATAAACCATGATGAATTCCTCTCTTCGTTAATTTTTACGTGTCGTAAATAATACGGTTGTCGTCTTAATATTGTCGATATCTATACACACGTCTGATTTCGATCACGTCGCTTTGTCACGTCTAAACGAACGTATGTACGCTACTGTGAACTCGCGTGCACTATCAAACCATCGCATCGGCGGTGTGCGTAAGTACACTCGCAGCCGGCCAGCACGTATCAATCACGGGGACTTCGCGTACAGTAAAGTTCCGTCCAGTAGCGTCATTATTCTGCTTTGTTGCCTCGCGGGGAGAGCGAGGTTGTTTAAAGGAAGATGAAACGTACGCGCTTTATGGTTGACCATATTCTCTGTCGGTATGTAATGGGCATAGCGGAACCGACTCTTCCCGACACGCGCACCGTTTACGTTTATGTAGCTACTACCTCGTGCGAATGTCGATCGAGCACCAAATGTGTCAGCTCTTTTTACTTCACCATGTGAGTACTTGGAATTTCAAGTCTTAATGACGTGTACTAGAATTCTATAAACTGCCATTACGTTATTTATATAAAATTGTATAAGTTACAATTTCCTATTTTTTATATTCCTTTTAAAAGAACAAGAAACGTCGTTTTTGTACACGCAAAAGGAGTAATTCAACTATTGATTGTGCAATTAAATGGAAAAATGAATTTTTCGAACATCACCAACAATTAAGTACAATTTCTAAATGTTTAATCAAGATTCTTGCTAAAAGACATAATCGTCAGGTTAACTAGTTCTCGTTCTGAGAACGACATATTTTATCAAATACCAACGCATTCTGTTCACCCAGCCAGCAAACGTACAATCACTTCCTACCGGGCGTTCTTATCTTCCCCGGGTAGGGCAAGAGAGCCGAGTAGACGCAGCGGAATATACGAAAAAGAAATTAATTGCAACCCGTAAAGGACCGCGTACGTATCCAGGTGTTCTTCGTTCTCCAGCCTCCCCGTCCCCTACGTCCCTCCACCCTTCTGGTTTATCCTGTTCGCGGTTACTATATGTGGCTTGGTCCATAAGGATCGATCGTGCCTCGCGGCAAGAAAATCTTGCTGCACGGCAGAACGGAAGGACGACTTGTATTTGCCGCAGGATCACCCGGCCAGGATCGGCCTGTAAACATCCAATCGGAATGCCACGCCGCGTTGCTGTCAAACAGCCACAGTGAATTATGTGTCGAACACTATGAATCGTTGTCGATACCAGACCGATTCTATCTTCCTCGAAGTTTTAACAAAAATAGGAACAGAGGCGAGGACGTACACGACGCAAGAAACTTCGTAGTTCATTCAGAATTTTTGTTTCAGCAAAAATTTTAAAAGAACTCTGCGGATATACTGGTGTATGTACTGTTGATTGAAACCGAAGTTTTCTTAATTTCTCAGAATTGAAAAAGAAACGAAGAACTTAAATTTGAAATCAAAGAATTATAAATAAGTTAAACAACTTTACTGTGCGTGTCGTAAACTTAATTCGCTTTCACTGTCAAAGTTTACGACTAGTAAAACAATCGAAACTTGAAATTCAGCTGAACAGGACTTTCGGCTAATCGTAGATCGTCGACACCTAATCAGCATTCACACGTTGGACAATTTTTGGTAAAGGAATTTACAACTGGCCATAAAGCCATAAAGGGCGAAAACTTTACAAATACTAAAGAATTCTGTTGTTCGTTAATCGTAAAAATGTTATGCAAAATAACATTCGTCTCCTAATATTACGAATCTGCCATTCGTTTATATTTTCTTAGAATTTTCGTCTCTGAACATTTTATCATGATTCACGTTTATTAAGTTTTTTTATCCCACTGCAAAGGCAGCGGATACAATTTCATAGTAATAATCGTATTGCATGGAACACAGCCTAAAAAACTGGGAGGCAGAAAATGAATCAGTCTTTACTTTAGAAGGCGGTTCACCCAGTTAATTACAACGGGCTTCAGTTACAAAACTGTTTAACGTTTAAATATGTTCTGGCCAGCGCTTAGGGTTTCGCCGTGCCTCTTCAAACACCCATTATTGCCCGCTAAAACGCAAACCAATTACGAAACTTATAAATACGCACGTAATGTTCCACGTGGATCCGGAAATTGCAAAAAACATTTTGTAATTAAGATTCAAATGAAGAAATATGATATGATTAACAGTATGAATGAAAAAAATGTTAATAATCGGAAGAATGAATGGAAAGCTAAATACATAAAAAATGCGCTATAAAAAATTATTATTTAATCGCGTTCACTAAATGCAACGCGTTTACAGTGGCAGGAAGTTAATTATCGTCCTTCATAATCCATTGCGACTCTTTTACGGCAAGGGTACGTTATAATACACCCGCTAACTAATAACGCAAACAAACTCTAGTGTGGTGGCTTAACCCATTTTTGGGATCTAATGCGTTATGATGGCTCTTAGAGGAAGAGCAGAGTTCTAATTGGTCTTTAAAATACAAACGAAATCTGAACAAATATTACATTTCTACCAACCAGCAGGTGTCGTTTGTATCATGGTGTAACATATACATACTTTACAGATTAAGAAGTGCAATCTCTTGTTTCAAATAATTGTCATATACATATAGAGAATGAGATAACAGTAACAATTATTTGGAATAGTTTGATTGATTTAAGAAATGTTTTTATGTGAGTATTTTATTTCATGGAACTCAATGAATTTTAATCATTAGTTTTCAACTTAATGAATAATATACTTTATTTTCTCTAACATTTCTTATTGACCTTGTAATGTGCATTGAATGTCTCTTAAAGAGCTGATAAAAATATTGCATCAAGTGCACTGGTTTTCGGGCTTGATAAGTTTAATTTAGAACGACTGCGTAGACATTTTTGCTGACTTTCACCGAACGAAATAAGACAATTAAGAGACTCCGATGAATCATGTATCTCTGCACGTGGGAGTGCAAACTCTGGGCCGGTTCCATGTCAATTTCCGCGGGCTCTCTTCCTAGTTCTCGCCGACCATTCACACGATAAATTAGACGGGAC